TGACATTCCATGTCCCTATTGCCAGTCTTGGCAGCCGGGGGTCAGTCCGCCAGGGCCTCCGCTCCTGGCCGCCACCCGACACACATTTGTGTGTTTTTCTATTCAGGTGTTTTACTTTTTTCCTTTTAATGCATTGACAGTGTGTTCAGGATCATTGTCATGCTGAAAAATTAAGCTGTAGCTAATTAAATGCTTTCGAAGTCGGACCAAAATCTGACACATTTTGAATTGTAGGCCCAAACCATGAGAGAGCTTCCATTATGTTTTCCTTGCTTAAGAATGGTGTCTTAATAGCCATTCTTCCACTGAGACCATTTCGGTCTGGTATATGTGTTATTTTCTTTTGTAGATTGACCTAAAGAAATTAGTGAATGAAACCAGCCAGGAACGAGGACAGGACTGAAAGTGAGTGAAAAAGAAGCCAATGTCCAATGAAAAACAGACCTTCAGAAACCCTGAAGAACTATTGCTCAAGAACAATTATATAATTGAAAGCAAAACATAAAAAAACAAAACAATTGTGGCTCAACACTGTTAATATTTGGAAATCAATCTGATATAGTGATCTGACAAGATGGACAAGTTCCGTCATACAACTGCTTCTTTTTCTCAAAGCCACTGTGTGTGCGTTTCTTTTCCTGCATCGTTGATACAGAAAAACAGATCATACCAAGCTCATTCACTGATTTCTTTCATTTTCCTGTGTGTGTACTTCCAATGCATACTTGCACAGTACATGTGTGAATTTCTCACCTGGTCATACTTGGATGCCTTCAGATGGTGGTTGATCAACTCAAGGTTCAAACGATTTTTCTCCTGCAAGGCAGCATGGAGCTTTGCTTTCTGAGAAGGAAGAGAAAGCAACAAAGAAAGAGTTGGTTGTCTTGTTCCATTATCCTCCTGCTTACAAGGAAATTTACATCTGAGTGCAAGCCACACAGCAAAACTACACCTCAAAATTATTATATAAGTGAAAGAAGCGACCTAAGCAACTTAGGTTAGCGTCGATCGCTCCCTCCATATGTATGCATCTGCGAGTGTGTGTGTGTGTTTGTGTGGATAATCTTTTTCTAAGATTCCGTCTGGAGGACAAAACCCACAGCTGCATACTGTCACCCTCCATTTGGTATGTGGGTTTAGGAATGGAGGGTGAAAGCTGAAAAAGATGAGGGAATGGGAAGAAAGAAAGAGAGGAAAATGGGGTGTGGGTGTGGGTGGGGTGGGGGGTAAATGAAGAAAATTGGAATTGTGAGAAAGAGCAACAGGAAGCAAGAAAATATCTGAGGGAGAAATAGGGGGAAAAAACTAAAGTGAGGAGAAAAAGATGTAACAAGGGAGTCCCAGAATGTTAGTCGAGTACTAAATAAGCAATCGTGCGCACACTGTCAGTAAAACCCTCCTAGCTAAAGACGAGATTAACTTGCAAACCACGTAAAAGGATTGAAAAGTGATGTGCAGTTCCTGTCTGCTCCCTCTACATTCAGAAGTTGTCATGCCACTGGTGCTGCAGGTACTCAAGCATTACATAATTACGCCAGACTCAAACTAGGCCAATGCTCTCCTCCTATCACGCCGCAGCGCACTCAAGAGTGATTTTTACTGCGACTGTTCATATCCTGGCACGTAATACCACTTCACTGATACTGCTCATTGCCATTCTCAACACTACGGCATTAAAATGTGGGTAAGTATTTTATAATAGCAGCAAGGCCTTTCCTCTTTGTCTTCAAACAAAAAGCAACAGGAGTTAATGACAGGTTTTATTTTCTTGTTATGTCTAGTCAGGAAAAAGAGCAGGGCTTGTTTTTAAAAATACTGTTTCCAAATGCAACAGTTACTGTCCAGGGGAGGTTTGAAAGTAAACTTGGATTTCAGATACACTGAAACACAACCTCTATACATTTATATTCAAAACGGCAGAGCCACACTTGTAATGGTTTATGTTAAGTTTACTGATATTGGGTTATTCTTTGTTTCTCCTGCATTGAAAGTACTATATTACTACTTACTACTATTATTGTGTCATTCCTCATTAGTTTCAGTTGTTCCTGTTTAACCTGGCCTCCTTGTACAGAAGTCTTGAGCTACACTTCACAACATAATTTCTTTATATGTTGCTTCCAAAGAGCCATAACTTCTTGTCATTTTTAAAGACGTCTTGAGCATCAGTTCTCCTTTTGGTATTGGCTGTGTTTTCTTTTTTGTTTGTTTATCCACTTTGAAGTTAGGTTGAATGACCTTTGAACCAATCAACCTAACTGAATAAGTCCCTCTTAGCAAGATACCAATTATTAGTAGACTGTCAAAAACGTACATGATTTGTTCGCATATCTTTAGCTGAATCTATAAAAAAAAAATAACACAGTTTGATAGGCATAAAATAGAATCTTTGCACTAAAAACTAGCTGTAAGAAAGCGTGCTGTGGAGTGTGTTCTTAGAAAAATTGTGGATCAGACATGGATTGGCCTCCCCAGATCCCAGACCTCAACTTTACTGAAGCAGTGTGGGATCATTTTGACAGAAAATGAATCCAACATCCAAAAAAGAGCTCTGGATGTCCTCTAAGAAGCCTGGAGAACTGTTCCTGAAGACTGAAGAAGAAATGACAAGAAAGTTTGCCTAAGAGAGTTTAGGCTGTGTTGACGAATAAAGGTGTTAATACCAAATATTGACTTTCCACCTTGTTAGAATTGTACAAACTGCACATATTTGTACATTTTTCAGTGAATTACTGCCCTTATTCTCCATTTTCCTAGCAAAATATAAAGGAAGCCTTTGCACAGTATTCTATTTAGTTTGAGTCAGCCTTTGTCAGATTGTGTGTGTCTACCATTTTTTGTGCTATTGTATGTTTCACTGACTTGTTCTCCATCTCATTTTTTTTGTCTTTGTTGTGCTTCTCATTTGGATTGTTTGTTACCCTTCAACAGCTTAGTATAACAACCCTCAGTCTATCTACATTCTCTTTTGTATTATGCTTAACAGCGCTAATAGCATATTGACACACCATACATCAGCGCAATATGCTCTTGTGAACCTGACTGTCACGAGTTAAAAAATGGCCAAAGCTTTGTATCACCTTCTGCAAGAGAAAAGACTGTGGAGCTCAGAGGTTTATGATCAAATTTATCAGTACAATAAATCGAGGAACTCAATAAACTCTGGACAAGAGGAGGAGAGAGAAAAACAGACAAAGTGAGGGGCCAGCCAGATTCATTCATCTCTTTGTGTGCAGGCAGAGTGACAGCCAGGGATGTCAGAGAGACACAATCAAACCAAGACCGAGATAGAGAACAGACAAGGACAGGAAGACACAGAGACTGGTGAGTGAGTTCACTTGCTGCTGTTATTGTGTAACTCATGTCGCCACATCACAGCCCTGCAGACTACAGCGTTTTTCAATGTACAGAGCCACACCTGCAGCAGCAGTTACAAATCCTCCAGCTATGCTGCTGTTAATTAAGCAGAAATGAAAAACAAGGAGATGTCAGTCTCAGTCACACACTTCACTAAATCTCCAGGACATGGTCTTGTAGCAGACACCATAAGACAGGCGGGGAGGAGATGGACTGAATGTACAGATAACTGGAAAGAAGACAGCAATAGAAACCCTAAACTTTCTTTTGCTCAACCTTCTTTCCCATCAAGGAAAAGAAAGTTTGAAAGAAAAGACAGAGAGTAATAAAGAACCACAGAAAGAAAGAGAATGACCTTTTAAAGCCTTCTTTTTATGGGCCTCAGGAATGATGTCTGCTTCTCCACTTCCTCCCACTTACAGTGAATCACACATTCACAGCTCAGCTTAACACTCCCTAACATCTTGTATACACACAGCTAAACTGCGAAGCCAAAGGACACACACATTTTCGTGCCAATTTAAACCTCCAATATCCACAAATAAACAAAGAAATCTGGTTTGACGATATGAAGGATATGGAAATGTGGTGTACTCTTAAGAAAAAACGCAATTTAACACCACTGACATCTGTGCAGAGCAAGTGAAAGAGTAGCAGGCATGTGTGAATCTTGAAATCTGTGTTCCATATGTGCATGCAGAGAGGCTGGATTGGCTTAAGGGAGAGGCATCAATACAGCTAATGTCTAATTCACTCTGATAACTTTCTTTCTTCCTTTCCATACTGTCATTTCTCATTGCCTACCACACAACACCCACACACACTCATACAGACTCTCCCTTCCATCACCATAATTATCATTCTGTCCATAAAACCACAAATTTAGCTACTGAACCCACCTTAGCTCACGGCTGCCAGGCACCAAGGTCCTAAACTCTCAAAATGTTCTGTGCATCTATATTACTGGCTCATATCTTACTTTCTTGTTGACACTTTCTTTAGAAGCTTCATAATAGTAGAATTTCCAAAAAAATGAACTGGCACCTGCCACAAATAAGACAAATACAGTGTCTTTAAGCAATGATTCATCAAGTCATGAAAAAACAAGCTGCAGCTACATTATTTTGTTATATGGATTGCACTATTGTGTGAGTTAGACTATAAATATATCTTTACCCAGGCCCGAAGATGCCCTTTTAAGAAAATATTTATTTTCTTATTCTTTTGTTCTGCCACATTTTACTGACACAATAATGTAGGATACAGCAGAGTGGCTTAGAAGTAATCAAACTCACAGGATAATATATTAGCTATACCAGTGTAACTGCTTGTTAACAGAAATATTTAATGGCAGCGACTCATTTAGGCATGTAAACATCGAGTATCAGAATGGGGAAGAAAGATGGAAGAAGTGACCATGACTGTGGCACGGTTGTTGGTGATGAGACGATATGCATATATGATAAGCATTTTAGAATTAGCAGAGTTACTGGTAACCCTCTCTGGGTTTATAGAGAATGGTCTGAAAATGAGAAAACATCCAGAGAAAATACCTTGTTGATCTGAGATTTGCCAGAATGCTTTGAGCTGAATGGAAGGCAACAGTAACCCAAATAACCACTTGTTACAACTTAAAAGGCACAGGCTCACCAAAACTGGACAAAAGAATATTGGAAAAACCTTCCCTGGTCAGTTAGTCTGGATTCTTGCTCCAGCAGTTCAAGGGTCAGATTAGGTATACTGTAAACAAGATGAAAGCATGGATCCATCCAACTTTGTATTAAAAGTTCAGTTGTTGGTGGCATTATGGTGTGAAGGATAGTTTCTTGGCACACTCTGGCCCCCTTAGTACCAATTGACCATTGTTTAAAGTTCACAGCTCTCCAGAGTATTGTTGCACGTCCATCTCTTTGACCAGCGTATACCATAACCAGCAAGGTCCAGCTAATAAAATAGTCAGTGACTGTATAATTATATTTGATCTACTCAGATTCATACACACTTGAATCTAAACTGGGCTACATAGGAAAAAGAAAAATGGCAAATAAGTCCTTATGTCAATCACAGAGGACACTCAGCTGTGTTTGATGAAATAACAAATAATTTAAACAATATTTAAGAGATTAAATTCTTCCGTTTTTTAATTAAAAAACCAATTAAGTGTCATTAAATGCAGCATTCAAATATCCTTTGCAAGCTAATATAGGATTTTATGGATGTGATCTTGGATTTGCTGAATTTAGAAAAACACATTTTGGATCCTAATAGCAATATTAAATGTTGCAAAATAATACTTGAGAAAATAAGCCAGGAGATGATGCATTTCTAATGGAGAATTGATGGGGGATGAAATCATGATTGCAGAGATTTGTGGGATGGCTACTCCTGACTCTAAATAGGATTCTTGTGGGTAGAGGATTGGTGCTGTTTTCCCCAGGAGGATTGTCATTAATTAGATGTCATGGCGGAAACACTTTGTTCCACTT